GTGGCCCCTGGGGACCCATGCAGAGTCTGAAGCAGAGGAGTGACGTGATTGGACTCCACTTTCATCGGGACCTCTTGGCTGTGGCAGGGAGAGCAGACTGCAGGGGTGAGGGTGGGAGCGGGAGGCCAGGGAAGGGGGCTGAACCGGGGTGGTGGCAGGGAGGTGGGGAGAAGCGGCCGGGTTTTGGGCATCCTGCTGCTTCTCTGTGGAGCCTGGAGCCCGGCTGTGCCCTTGGGAGCCTTCCCAGGTCCCTCATTCAAAACCGGGGCGTCCGTTTTATACATTTTATTATGATTGTCTGTCCCCTTTTGGGGGGCTCTGATGCCTTTGGGAATCTGATAAATATTATGGACTTTCTTCCCTTGTGCACTGAATCAAATGCATGTTCCTAGAGCCCCCTGCATCCCTCCTGTTAGGGGCCCCTGGCTAGTGCATGTGCACGGGACTGGGTGCAGAATAGGACCATGCAGTGTGGGTCTCTGGCTGTCGGGTGCTGCTGATCGGCACACAGTGGGTCTAATCTTCTGTTAAACCCTCACTGCAGATGTAACGGCCATGCAGTACGCACTTGATAAATGTGCCCTGAAAGATAACGATGATAAAGTTGGCCCTTGACAAAGCTCTCACCCTCACGAGGCGCCTTAGATATAAATGCCTCCATTTTATAGCCAGACGAATAAAGCCTCAGCAAAGTGAAGCGCACGGTGCAGGGGGGCGTCGGTGTCTGGTGTCTGAGCAGGGCTGCAGCGACGGTGAGCCACGCTGGTGCTCGGTTAGCCTTAGCCATGATCGTCCTAGACCTGGATGGTGGGGAGGCTGCGACTTTTCCCCGGAATTGATCATCCGGCTGGGGAATCAGTAAGAAGGCAAGGATCCCAAGTTACACCTGCTTTCCTCCTCATTGATTCTCAGAGCAGCCCTGCGAGGTAGACCTTATTATTATCCCTTTTACAGACGTGGCGACCGAGGCTCACCAGAGGTACGTAGCAGAGTTCAGGGTTCACCCTCCAAGTCTCCAAATCCCCAGATAATTAGTGAGCAATATATATAGTTAAATGCTCACAACTTAGCACTTAATTATGTACTATTTCACATTGTATTGTATATAATTTAATGCTAATTGCAGGGTTTCAGAACGAGCTGAAGGGAGCGGGGGCGAGAGTGACAAGGGAAGGCTTCACGGAGACTTTGGGAACTCAGCTGGGCTCCGGAGACGATTTGGGTGGATTTCTGGATGAGGGAGTGGATGAGGGAGTAGAATGATAAAGGCATCTCGGTAGGAATGAGCATGGATGGGGAGGAGCCAAGATAGTGCTATTTAGATAATGGAACTCTATACATATGAATGTAACTAATAGTCATAAGGAATGTTCTTTTTTTTTTTTAATGTTTATTTATTTATTTTGAGAGACAGGGCACAAGAGGGGAGAAGCAGTGAAAGACAGAGAGAGAATGCCAAGCAGGCTCCATGCGGTCAGCACAGAGCCTGACCAGGGGGCTTGATCTCACAAACTGTGAGATCATGACTTGAGCTGGAATCAGGAGTTGGATACTCAACCACCTGAGCCACCCAAGCACTCCAGTGTTTTATTTTTGAGAGAGAGAGAGAGAATGTGTAAGCCAGGGAGGGGCAGAGAGAGGGGGACAGAGGATCCAAAGTGGACCGTGTGCTGACAACAGCAGACAGCCCAACATGGGGCTTGAACTCATGAACCATGACATCATGACCCGAGCCAGAGTCATCATGACCTGAGCCAAGGTTGGATGCTTAGTCAATGGAGCCACCCAGGCACCCTTCCCTGAGAACATTCTAAATGCTGGAACTATACCGAGTCCTTTCCACTGTCCCTATTTCCCATCGACCTTTTGCAAGAAAGGAAAAGCCAACTGCGCAGGTATTGTTCTGACTTCTGTTTTAACGAGGGCGTAAACTAATGGCAGTGTGGTGACCCGGAGCCGGGCCTGGTCTCCAAGCTCACGTTCTCCCCAGGTCAAGTTGAGACTATCTGATGAGCCATGGGCGGGGCTTGGGCCTTGCTGGCCAATAAAAATTGCCTGGGTGCTTGTTAGACATGCAGCCTTGGGCCCCTCCCCGGTCCTACTGAGTCAGAACCCGCATTTCTACACAGCCCCCTTCCTCCACCCCCCACCCCCCAGTGATTTGTGCTACATTAGTTAGCATCTGGGAAGCACAGGGCTAGCAGGAAGTTTGGCTGGACATGTGTCTGTGCCGTTCAAGTCTTCCTGAGGACACTCTCTCCTGGCAGAGGGGAGTAAATGCATTCCCGGAGGGTTTGAGGTGAAGGGCCAGGGCAGCCCGTCCCACGCTGAGATCTCTGTCTTCTCATATTTCATCTAAAAATGTCACTGACTATTCACTCCGCACCATAATACATCAGTGGTCATTTTGATATTTCAAAATGGTTATGTAAATTGCCGTGGAGTAGGATGCGCGTTCCGGGAAGATGCATGAGATGGCTTTCTTTGTATCTGAAATGGGGTAATAATAACCACTTCAAGGGCTCCTCGAAGATCAAAGGAGAATCATGTGTATGGAAATGCTCACAAACTGTCTGCCTCAGACCCGTGTTCTTCTAGAAGCAAGTGAGGAGTCCTTGCCAGACCCATTGTCCTGCACCTGCTCTTCGAGGGCTGAGCTTGTACGGGTTTTTTTCTCCCTTTCAGGGCAAGGCAGGGCTGGGTCCTGAAGATGACCAAGGAACCTCTCTGGGCATCTCAGGAAACCAGGGAAATAAGAGAAGAAGGTCAGCTATTGCTAGTTTGCTTATTTAAATTCCTTATTAGTCCCCACTTCCCGATTGGCCAGATGAGCACGCAGGAGACCCCGGGTAAAACTCAAGAGGTTTCAGGGACATCAGGACAGGACAGAGGGTGGGGAGATGAAGAGCACTTCACCCTGTCCCCAAGTGGACCTAGAGAGAGGGGGATGTGGCAGGAGTGACTGGGAGAGGTAAGCCGACAGTAACAACCAGAGTCCTACAGGAAGAGGGACAAGAGTGGCATCCGGCTTCCACCCAGGTCATGATGTCACAGTTTGTGAGTTTGAGCCCTGTGTCGGGCTCTCTGCTATCAGTGCAGAGCTGGCTTCTGATCCTTTGTCACCCTCTTTCTCACTGCCCCTCCCCTGTTTGTGCATACATACACACACTCTCTCTCTCTCTCAAAAATAAACTTTTTTTTTTAAGGAAAAAGGACAAGAAAGGGGGACTGGGCTGTCAGCCCCGGACCAGGAGTGACCTTGGGTTCCCTGAAAATGTCCTCGCAACTGGAAAGAGTAGATGGAGGAGGGAGACACAGAAGGGTGACATGGACAGACAGTGATCATCCCCAAGTGAGGCCAAGGGGGAAGGGAAGTCAGACAAGGCATCGGAGGGGAGAGAGGCTCATTTACAACTGCAGAGGCTGATGGAGGAGAATCTGGGGGCGGATGGGAGGGAGGTGGTCAGCAGTGCCCCCTGGCCCGGAGCAGCTGAAAAGGATGAACTTGGGAAGAACTATTATATTTGGCTAAGGAGGTTATGGGTCACCTGTGGATAGGGCTGTGGTAGAATAATGGTGCTGAAGCCAGCTTTTGAGAAGAAGAGAACGATGGGGATTTTCTCTTCTCCCCATGGTAGCAGTTAAGATTTTCACACAAATTGCATTTCTATTACAGATGTCTTACTTGCCATTTAAAACTTAATCCATGTAACTTGTGACTAGAACCAAGCTGATATTGTCTCCCTAATCCATCCCTTGGCAAAAAAGTTATTTAAGAAACATAGAAGATTGCAAAGCATTGTTTATCGGATGATCCTGTTTTTGTTTGAAAGAATGTCTGTGTTTGCATGTGCATTTTATAAATATGTATGTATATGTATATTGTAAAGAACATCTGAGGGAACATACATCAAACCATAACAGGGGTTTTACTGGTATATATACATATGTCCCTTTAAATATGCGTAGTTTATTTTACATGAATTATCCTTCCATAAGGCTGTAAAAATTATAATAGTGGTTATCGCTAATGGTCAGATTATGGTATATATGACATAATTCTTTTGGCTGCAAATGACAGAAACTTGGCAGAAACTTCTAAAGCAACAGCTCAATTGTGCAGATACTTGTTCAGACATGAGTGGACCCAGGGCCTCAGGTTAGGATATTAAGAATCTCCCCTACAGCCCTCCCGTCTGCCGTCTCCTTTACTGACCTCACTCTCAGGCAGTTCCGGGCCTGCATCTCATCAGTCTAGCACCCCCATGGAAAGAGGGCGGCTTTTCCCCTAAGAGTTATCAGCAGAGTCCCAGGGCTGACTTTCAAGCACCTGACTTGAGCCCTGTCTCACCCACAGACCAGTGAAGCGCTGTGTTGATTGGCAAGGGCACGGCCAAAGCCATGTGACCCAAGAGGCAAACAAAGGAACTTTCAAGGGCATCTCAGGAAGCCAGTGAACTGAAAAAAGGGGACGAGTGGTTCTCTAAAGGAAATCCAGAGTTCTGTTGCCCGAAAAGGAGGCGTAAAACCCCAAGTGTCTGCCCTTAAAGGAGCCTTTGCTGTCATATATTTCTGTAGTGACTGGGTTGTTTTAATAAGCATGCATTTCTTTTGCCGTGACAAGAGAAAAATGAGATTCCCTCCTTAAAACAACTGATCTGGGTTCCATCTGATTATGATCCTGCAGATAAATAAATAATGAGTGTGGAGAAAACAGTAAGGCTCAAATCTAGCCGAGCCCTTGATTTTAGAGGGCATGGGAGGAATGGGCAGTGTCAACGCTGGGCACTTGGCCTTCAGCCTTCTCCTTTCTGCAGCCCGTTCGTTGGGCACACACAAGGCCCACCGGGCCATCAGGCAGTCTCTGGGGCTCTGGGTCACCAGAGCGACGTGCCCAGAGAGCTGGGCCTTCGTTAAGCTCGCCTCTGCCTCTCGGGCTCCTGCCTCAGTAAATAACTCCCTGCATTCCGACATCACACTGCTGTGTTTCTTCCTTTCAGGGTTATACTGAGGACATGGTGCCAGACTTTGATGAGAAGCACGATGAGTATTTAATATTGCTCCAGCAGAGAAACCGGTAAGATGACGCAGCCCTTAATATCAGGCGAATAAAAATCCTGTTTAGATTGATGAATTGCAGGCCCTGTTTCTCGTAGGACTGGCACGTAGTCACCCTCCACTCGGGGGCTTGGGATATTATCTGCAATGCCAGCTCCCATTCCTCCATTCACTGATTTAATTGCATCTTGGAGCTGTAGCCAACTGCTCCCCATGGAAGCACCACCTCTCGCCTCCCTGGCTCCTGTTCTGCGAGAAGGTGGCTTTGTCACAAAAAGCTAGACTTCGGCAGGGGCCTGTGCATTCAGTGGCCTAAGGAGCCCGGTCTGTGATCTTACCCGCTTTGCTGGCCCCTTGAACCCGGAGCTATAATCATGCCTCGTTAGATGAAGGTGGAGTCGTTTTATGTCTGTGTTTGAAGTTGGTCGATATGTCTAATTTAAAGTTAAGTTTGTATGACTCCGGGGGCTAGGCTAGCTCCTGGGACAAAACTTGACCGTAGACACAGTGTTTAGTGACTGAGGGCAAAGCAGTGTGGTCTAGTTGGCAAAAGGTGTCGCCCAGTCTGTGCCTAAGCTGGGCCTGCCCAAGTTCACGTTCAGTTCACCGTGGTTTCTCATCAGGCCTGGGGGACTCGCATTAAGCCAGGTTTGTGAACTCAGATGCTGGGAGGGGCGGGCCGGGCAGTGAGAGAACCAGCTCGGTGGAGAGCGAGGGCCCCTGGGATCCTCATGGCCACGCTGCTCCGTTCAGGCCAGTTATTTGTGGGAACACGGGCCCAGGGGTCTGGATCCTCCAAGGTTGCCGGGGAAGCTGGAAGTCTGGATCTGTGTTGTGAAATCCCCTGAGTTTCAAAATGTTGGTAAAATGCACTCAGATGAAAGCACAAACAGGGGCGTCTGGGTAGCTGAGTCCACTGAGCGTCTGACTCCCATTTTTGGCTCAGGTCGAGATCCCAGGCTCATGGGATTGAGCTTGGTGTTGGGCTCTGCACTGAGCGAGAAGCCTGCCTAAGATTTTCTCTCTCCCTCTGCCCCTCCTCTATTTGCACTTTCTCTCTCTCTCTCTCTCTGGAAAACAAAACACGCCCGCCCCCCACCCCAAACAACTGCAACAGAGTTACAGGCCCCCAAAGCAGATCACACGGAGTGAGGTGGGCAGGGCCCTGAGGTGGCCTGTTTGTGTTCTGGGAATGAACTTGTGCGTTCAGCCCTCATCCGACTGGTGGGACTCCCGGTGCTCGTGGGGCAGGGCCCTGGTGGCATGTTGTTCGGTTTAGTCCTTAGCGTCGTAGCTCAGCGTTCCTGCCCACCGGCCCCTTTGCTGACCTCCACTGTGACCCCAGTATCTGTAACAACACCCGCCCAAGTGCCAGATGCCCCCTAGCGAGGCGGTACGACCCCTCGTGGCGAACCCTTGAACAGACCAAGGCCCCAGGCACAGCCAGCAAGGCCAGCAGCGCCCCCCGTGCCTGGCTGCTCTGTGCCGTCTCCCCAGCCTCCGGGCGACCCCAAACTACAGTAGCGGGAGGCCTGTGCGCGTTAGCCCAACGTGGGTTTTTATCATCATTAACGCCACGGAGCAGGGTGTTTTTGTTCCGTTTCTGACAGACGAGATGGTGCCACCGAAGCGCAGGTGATCGTTCACTCACACACGCGTGGCCTGTCTTGGAGGACAGTGTCAGAGTTTCTGAGGAGCACATTGCTTCTCATTAATCTGCAGATCAATAAGTGCACGCTCCAAGAGGCGCGAGCCGATAGCATGGAGGAGGCTTCGCAGAGACAAGGTCGCAGCACAGAGGCGATTAAGAAACGTGTCCAAGTGGAGTTGCCTTAAAATCGGGGGGGACGTGTGGTTACCGACAGGGAGCTGGCTTGACGACAGGGACTCAGAAAGTAGGACTAATGGAGGCGTGAGGAGGGGGCATCCCCCTGAGCTCTCACTGGGCATGGCTTTCCAGGCACCTTTTCTGGGCTGCCACCCGCAGGCCAGGCACCTTGCCCTGTCGTTTCATTTTATCCTCACCCCCCCACCCCCCATGAGGTGTGGGCACAGCCACTGAACCCATTTTACAGACAAGGAAGCACTTTGCCCAAGGTCATACCACCAGGAAGTGGCGGAGCTGGGCTGCGCTTCCTGATTTACACTCCGTGAGACATCGTTGTAAATAATCAGGAGGAGAGAGACCTGCCGGGGCTGCCAGTTTCACGACGAGGGGTTTTGTGGAAATAAACTGCAGTTTGCTTGGAAATTGGGTTGTATGACCCGGTGGAAAAACCAGTCTCTGGGCTCTATCGTGTGCGGAGCGGGAGATGCAAACCCAGACTGCTTACGGGGTTGCTGTGACCTGAGAAAAGGGTGTGCGATCATGGGAGCAAGTTCCTAGGAGAGACCGGCCCAGAGCACAGCCGGGAGGATTCCTCTGAGCACCTTTTCGGCGCCCAGCACAGCCGCTAGTGTGAAGGAGGATACTGTGCTGAGGGAGGCACGGACTTCTAGTTAGTGGCCTAAAGTAAATGAGCCTTAAACACTAAGGAAACTTACTGGCTCATGAAATTAAAGAAATCCAGGATAATACCCTGGCTTCAGGCATAGCTGTATCCAGGCACTCAGCTCGTGTTGGAGTCATCTCGGGTCTGTACTTCCTTTACCAAGGGAGCCCCTGGAGGTGGTGCTCACATCCTGCCGCGAGGAGAGAGCACTTCCTTCCTGACAGTTCCAGCCAGGGCGCAGAGGAGGGCTCCGTCCCCAGCCCCGAGCCAGTCACCCCCTTTGCCAGGCAAGGTGGAATGGTCTCACTGGCCATGCCTTGGCTACGTCCTTAAGCTGGGTGGTGGAATGCGTATCGCCCACGGCACACAGTAAGAGAAGGAGTGGAGCAGTTCCCAGCGGGGCTCCGAGGGGCTGGCTTTGGAAGATGGGGGAGCATTGCTGGTGAGGCAGAATGAACAGGTGGTTGCCCCACAGCCCTTGCCCTTGAGGACCTCCCTGGTGGGGGCAGGGAGCACAAGGCCACCTATTTATAACTGCACCAGAGGAAGCAGAAAATGGTCATGTGCTCCAGGAGAGGACCGGGGGAGGGGTGGGGGAGATGTGACAGCCCCGGATCACCCCTGCACAAACCCTCCCGGAGGATGCTTAGTGATTCTGGTCACTCACCTTCATGAAAGATGTCATCGCACCTGACAGACTCATTGCCAGAGCAAGGGCTGGAGGGCTGATGGCCAAGAGGGACCGTGACACACACGTCTAGACGGTGGAGGCTGGGCCAGGTTCAGGAGTCCAACATTGATATTATTTCTTTCGGAAGGAAAACATGCCCATGAGAGAAGTGACCCTCTGCCCTGAAAAGAGATTCAGGTAGAGAGAAGGAAGGGGAGGGGCACTTGGGTGGCTCAGTTGGTTAAGCGTCTAACTTCAGCTCAGGTCATGATCTCGCAGTTCGTGGGTTCGAGCCCCACATCGGGCTCTGTGCTGACAGCTTAGAGCCTGGAGCCTGCTTTAGATTTTGTGTCTCCCTCTCCCTCTGCTCCTTCCCTGCTCGTACTCTGTCTCTCTCTGTCTCTCAAAAATGAATAAACGTTAAAAATTTTTTTTAAAAAAAGAGAGAGAGGGAAGGGGAGAGCCAGTATCTGGGGGGACTTGGCATAGGCCAGTCTCTGAGCTGGAGCCCCTGCCCGGTACCCCCCTCCATCCTCATGACAGTCCAAAGAGGTGTAGGTGCTCTGAGGCTCATCTTACAGATGAGAAGCAGACCCCAGAGGTGGTGGGCCTTGCCCCAGGTCACACAAGCCCAGGAACTAAGGAACCCAAAGAGCCTCCCTGGGGCAGAACATCCTCCCCCACAGTCTGCCACTTCCACCCACGTGGACACAGGATGCTGACATCCTAAAGGGCGAATACCCGAGCCCGTGGACCCCCAGGTTCTGGGAAGAACATCAGGCTCTCTGCACCACTGCCCTTCGCCTCTCCATCCTTCAAGGCTAGACTCAAGCGCCACCACCTCCAGGAAGCCCCCAGCTGGGAGCCACTGCTCTGCTAGCTCAGAAAACCCGTGGTGTGTTAATCTGGTGAGGAGACAAGAAACAGCACAGTGGTGCAGCCAGCAGACAGGCTCCGGAGCCTTGTGGACCAGAATTTAAATCTTGGCTGCTGCCTGGGCTCTGTGACCTTGGGCAAGTTCATCTACAAAACAGGCCAATGGTAGGACTTAAATCCCAGGGCCAGTGAAGGATTACGCACCCAGGTGTCATTTGAATGTTAAACGCACCTTCTCTCTGAGGGACATCCAGGTAATCCTTGAATGCCCGACCCAGGTTGTCCCCTGGGGTGACTGAGATCCGAAGGCCTGCAGGGCTAGCTGGGTCACACAGCGGCCACGGTGCTCTGAGGCCAAGGTGGGTCAGCCATTAACCCAGACACAGTCACACCCGGGTGGCTGCCCCTTGAGTTTGTCTGAACCCTCTCGCCAGCTGGCCTCCCACTTGTGCCCTGACTCATGTCCCCCATCACACCCCCCGCTGACACCCAGTACTAACTCGGGGTGCCCTGCTTCCTCAGGGCGGCCCCACAGCTCGCTCCAGGATGAGACGGGAAGGGCTCCCGTGATGAGCACAGCGTCCACGGTGTTAGGGTGCATGTTCACGTCTTCCAGATGCGGAAGCTTCCTGCTCCAGAAATAGGTATCGAGAGCATCCCGCTCAGCACGGACCCCGGGCCCAGGGGTAGGTTCCGGCCATCAGAAAGGAGAATAAACAGACGCACAGACAGGATCCTGTAGTGCAAGGCCGCGAGCCACCTGCCGCGGGGAGGCCAGCAAAGCCCATAAGGGAACAGAGCATGAGGGGGCAGCAGCGGGGACTGAACCCGAGTTTTCTCAATCCTGGACACCGAGGGCAGCTTTTTATGCAAAGCAGCTTATCAATTAAAAAAAAAAAACAGCACCACCACATTTCTTTGAGGCCAGGTGAATATCACGGACGGACGCCTCAGCCACAGGAGGCAGGGCGTCCCTTTCACAGTCTCAATAATTATCTCCCCACATATCAGTTTCATAAATCCACATTTTCATAAATTGTTCTGCTTAAATAGAGGAGCGCACACCAAGGGCCAGTCCCTGATCCTGGGTGATGGGAGGCCTCTGTAAGTGCCAGGGGAGCATCAGGAGACCGGGCCGTCTCCGGAGGGAGGTTGAGGCAGGTGCTCTGCGGCCCGGTGCTCAGATTTTCCGCTCCCCGGGCCTCCCAGGGCTCAGGCTCCCTGCTCTCTCTCCCTGGGGACTGCCGGGGGCCCACTGAATCCTCCAATTGTTTGCTCCAGAGAGTGCAGCTATTGCTGTGTTTGGAGAGCATCTCCTAGTTACTTGTGTTTTCCTTGTTTTGTGCTGTTTCCTGCTCAGCAATCAAATCCCAGGCCTCCACGGCTGGCAGGAGAGAAGCAGTCAGTAATAAATGTTTCTGCCATGATCGTTGAAAAGATGGATGTGTCAACAGCTAAAGAAACATGTAAAACGCAAACGAAGAAATCACCCATAATGCACCACCTTACCTCAACAACGAATTGGATTTTCACATTTATCACCTTCCACTCTGGGTCCACAAACACAAATTTCTTTCCAGCTCTGCACTTGACCACACACGTACCGTTTTTAGTCTGCCTTTCTCGCCCCCCCGCCCCCCATCCCCCTGATCATAAGCTGTTTCTTGAGTTTGGACACACTCTCTGTGATGACCTCAGCTGCGTGAGATCTCACGTTCTGCTTCCCCGGTGGTCGGACGTTAGGGTTGCTTTCGGAGTTGTGTGATGACCAAAGGCTGCTGACCGTTGTTGCTGTTCAAGAATGATTTGGGGGCGCCCGGGTGGTAGAGTCGGTTAAGTGTCTGGCTTTGGCTCATGTCGCCGTCTCACGGTTTGTGGGTTTGAGCCCTGCATCGGGCTCAGAGCCGCTTTAGACCCTCTGTTCCCTTCTCTCTCTGCCCCTACCCTGCTCACACACATATGCGTACTCTCTCTCTCAAAAATAAATAAAAGTTAGGAAAAAAAAAAAAAAAAGAATGACTTACCGAAATGGGCTTCCTGGGGAAAGACCAAGCATCTGGCATTTTCTCTATTTTCATATTACTTTCCGAGAAGGTTCTTTGAGTTACCAGCAATGTCTAAATTTGCCAGTCTCAGCGCATCTTGCTAGCTTCAGAGGTTGTCTTTGATGTGGTGAAGACCCGAGCCAGATTGCTTAAGTTTCTGTCCCAGCCCTGCTCCATACCAGCTGTGTGACCTTGGGCAAATTACCTAACTTCTCTGTGCCTCACTTTTCTTATTTAATTACATGGGGATAATAAAAATAATTAGGGTTGTTGGGGGAAGATTAATACCTTAATACAGTCAATCCTTATCATTCACGCGTTCCCTAAATACAAATTCACCTACTCACTGAAATTTATTTGTAACCCCAAAGTCAATGTTTATAGTGCTTCTGTGGCCATTCAAAGGTACATGCAGAGTGGCAAAACATTTTGGTTGCCCAACACACACTTTCCCAGCTGAGGTCGATCACGGGAATGTCCCCCTTCTGGTTCCAGCTCTTTCCCCCCAAAACAAAGCATCTTTTTCACAGTATACTTGGTGGCACATTTTCCACATTTGCATGCTGGTTGGTGGTGATTTTGCTGTTTAAACTGGCCCCCAGGCATGTCTCTAAAGTGCCATGGCATGTGCCTAAGCACAAGGAGGCTGTGGTATCTCTTAAGGAGAAAACACACGTGTTGGATAGGCTTCCGTCAGGCCTGAGTTAGAACCCTGCTGCTGGCTGTGAGTTCAATGTCAGCTCAGCAAGTGTGTATTAAATAAGGTGCCTTTAAACCAAAACTCACATACAGCTAGGTTGTGCACTGATCAGTGATGAAAATGTTGTGACGGAGGCTCACAGGAAGCAAATCCTGTGTTGCGCCCCAGGAACTCAGCAGTCACTAACTCAGCATTTGCGGTGACTTTACAGAGCAAAACTGCCACCGATGACGAGAATCCACCGCCTTACATGCACTGCATTGACAGCAGACCTTGGAACCTAGTACACACCCTTGAGGTGATCACTATGTCTGTATTTTAAAAACATTTACACTTTGCTAGTTTCATAGGAACTTATTTAGTCACAAAGAGGATGCACGCTTGTTGCCATGTGGGTCGAGTGTATTTCTTCCTGTGCAGAAATAAATTTGGTTGACGCGGGTGTGCGCGGGGGTGTTTCTGAAGGCACCGAAGGATTTGGCGGCCGCCAGCAGTGGCTTTGGGGGGGCTGATGAGATTGCCGCACGCTGTATATGGCCCTAAAGCAGAGTTGGGAAAGAACCAAGGCTTTCGAGAAAATGAACTAGAGGGCCGGCCGCATTCATGCCCAAGACCCTTTTAGCCAGAGGTGGAGACAGTCCTATCATTGATCTTGAACTAGAGCCTACACTGATGTATTCTTACGCCGCATCGGAATATAAAATGACATGGGCGATATCAGGGGTGAGCTTTTGAGAACACATTATTTACTGGAGCAAAAACGTCAGTCTGCCCGGTCTGAAGCGGGATGTTTCCTGCTTTGTAGACGTTCTAGGAAATCTCTTGCAAAGGCTTACGACCCGAGGCCCGGTGTGTTTTGTGATGCGTTGGAGAAGGTGCCATGGGGACGCACAAGGCCGTGGCCATCCCAGGAAGCCGGGCTGCGGGGAGGCAGTGCCCACACATGCCTGCCTTCTGTCCCAGCCGCCGTGGGGCGAGGCCAACGTGTGCCTTCGTGGTCGCTGGCGTACGCTCGAGCCTCAGCACGAAAGCAGAAACAGCCCTGCGGGGCCTGAGACTGGGTCCCACTTACTGCTCCTCCGTGTGCGTAAAGGTCCCCTTCCCGGGGGTTTGTGGAGGAAGAGCTGGGCACTGGCCTCCCAGCCTCTGATTATAGACGCTTTGCCCACCAGGGCGGTAGTTCTCTCCCGGCATCGGGGGCGGAGGGCAGCCTAGGCTTCCAGAACGAGGAGCAAGGGATCGGTTCTCTTCCAGGATACTAAAGCATTTGAAAACCAAGGACCCCACGCAGCTGAGGCTGGAGCACCTGGAGCAAGGCTTCTCCGTCTACGTCAACGGGGCCAATTCTAAGGTGAAGACGTCGCCCCGGAAAGCTGTCCACTGCGACTTCGCCAGGAGTGCCTCACACGCCGAGGGGACGCACGGTGAGCACAGAACGCGGTGTCACATCCGATGCACATAAGCTTCCCAGCAAATGACTAGTTAAGCTGTACACACTAACCATGCCCACTTGGCCAGAAAGAGAGAGGGGAGGGAGAAAGAGAAAGAAATCCTTTTTTATTCCTTTCAGCAAGTCCTCTCGGCCTCCGTGACCCCAGGGCAAAGGTGGCCAGAGCAGTAAATTTCTGGCTTTTATGTTCCAAAGTGCCAGTAATTGAAGGAAATGTCTAGGATAATTGAAATTATCCCCGATTTGCACTGGATCTGTCTTAACGTCAGTCCCTCCCCCGCTATGTGGTATTTGATTCCACTGTTCATTTATGAATCTAGTTAATCCATGCTCCATGTACTTTACACAGATTTTGTGCATCCCGTCCCGAAAGCTGATGGGGGCAATACAGGTGACCCACCGAGGGGCCGGCCCAGCACAGGCACCAAACATGACCTGGCGATAAAATGCATGAAATGGCAGAGCACATGGGATCGGGTCCCAATTTGGCCATGTTACTTTGTCTCTCTGTGCCTTTGTTCCCTTGTCTTTCAAATGGGACTAAGGAGGGTGCCCATCCCTGGGGCCGGAGTGCCCTTCACGTCAGGCGGCTTTGTCTGAGAAGCCGGTGTGCTACTGAGGAAGAGCACTTGGAATGAGGCAGGGCTGGATTTGAACTCTGTTCTGCCACTCTCCAGCTTTGAGACCCCTGGCAGTTGGGTCCTCTCTGACCCTGTTTCCTCTCCTATAAAATGGGAATAATTACGCCCACCTTGCAGGCTTGCCAGGAAGACTAACCGACATAAGAAATGTAAAATGTCAGGGCACCTGGGTGGCTTAATCAGTTGAGCATCAGACTTTGGCTCAGGTTATGATCTTGTATCCATGGGTTCAAGCCCAGCATTGGGCTCTGTGCTGACAGCTCAGAGCCTGGAGCCTGCTTCAGATTCTGTGTCCCTCTCTCTCTGACCCTCCCCCACTCATGCTCTCTCTCTCTCTCTCTCTCTCTCTGTCTCAAAAAGGAATAAACGTTAAAAAAAATTTTTTTAAAGAAATGTAAAATGTCCATCACACAGTTATGGTTCTAATTCATCGTCTTACAGGTATGGTAGCTATCCCAAGCTATTAATAGACAGTAAAGGTCAAAAGAACGAGGAGATACAAGGAGAAAATGATGTCCCAAAACCTTCCCCTACGAGAGCCACTAGAGTTAAGCTTAGAGTTTAGAATGAGCTCCCTGGCCCCAGGGCAACAAGGGAAATGGAATGATTCTTCTGGCTTTCACAGAGGGGGAGGCTGGCCAGCCTGCTGGCAGGTGCAGGCCTCTCCTGGCCCAGGTTTAAGGGAGTGTAGATACCAGGAGTCTTTCTACTTGGGCCACCAGCAGTAGTTCCTTGACTCAGTCAACAAATATACCCCCCCTCCTCTTTTACACAAATGCTGGCCTGTTGTGCCCACCATGTGTCCCCTGCTTCCGTGTGTCAGAGATTGTTCCTCTTGAATACAGATATGCATGATTCAGCTGTGACTTTCCGCCCTTTCCCTTTTCACAGAGCATTTGGCTTGTTTCCTAGCACCCTGCGGCTACAACGGGACTCTGTGACCCACTCTACATACGGGAGTTTGGGCACACAGATGTGTGTTTTATTTTTATTTTTATTAAAAAAAATTTTTTTTAATGTGCCTTTATTTTTGAGAGAGAGACACAGAGTGTGAGTGGGGGAGGGTCAGAAAGAGGGAGACACAGAATCTGAAGCAGGCTCCAGGCTCCGAGCTGCCTGACATGGGGCTTGGACCCACCAACTGTGAGATCATGACCTGGGCTGAAGTCAGCTTGAGTGATAGAGCCCCCCAGGCGCCCCAGATGTGTGCTTTAGATGTAAGTCATGAATCTTCCTTGGGTGTGAGTTGTCACGGGTGCCTCACCAAATCTCCTTCCCTCATCTCTGGTGCAGATTATGGGCGAAGAACCCTGTTTCGAGAAGCAGAAGAAGCTTTAGGACGCAATTCACGGACGGCCCCCGGAAAGGTCCAGCGCCGCGGATGGCACCAGGTCAGGAGACCCTGGGCATGGTCCCGAGCTCATGCTTTAGGAGAAGGAGCAGAAGTATTGTGACAGAGCATTCAGTCCCCAGGGGCATTGGTGGCTCTGGCTGGGCACCAGGCTGGTGTCCTCTCTATATGCAGTCCTGGCCCCTGGGGAGTGGAGGAACCTGGGGACCCTCCCACCCTCTCTCTGTGGCACAATCCTCCCTTCCGGATGGAAGACAGGGTCACCCTAGCCCTACTCAGAAGTGTCACGTGCCCCCTCAGCCCGCTACATGATGACTCGTGTACACAGCAGTCTTGTATTGAGCACCTACTATCTGCCAGGCACGGTCTTTGATGCCAGGGAGGAGGTGGGTAATAAGACAAAGCCCCTGCTCCCCAGACCCGAGATGCCACTTCGGGGTGCTGCTGATGCTGCCGATGCCGGCAGCTTGCATTTTTGAGTGCCAACCAGGTATGAGGCGTGGGCTAAGCTCCCACGGGACTCCTCTCCTTTGTCCTCACGGCAGACCTGTAGGGTGAAGTTCCGATGTTCTTCCTCTTTCAAGGGAGCCGAGGACATGAACGCCCAGAAAAGCTAAGTGAGCTTTCCAAGTTCAGCCAGAATCAAGATGCCAGCCCAGACCTCTGCCCCCGGCGCGGTGTTCTTGCCTGTAGAGCCCTTATCTGGCGGTTACTCACAGCCTTGCCTCGGATCAGGGCTCCTCAGTCCCCACTGCACTTTCACACCACCCAGGGGGCCCCACCCCCGGGGGTTCTGACTCACCGGGTCTGAGGTGCGGCTTAGAAACAGTATATAATCCTTTTCAATCCCATGTTCACCCAGATGGGGAAGTACTGCCCTTAGAGACTTCTGCACCGGGCTGTATGTGTGGGTCTGTAGCAAATACTTCCATATCCTTTGTTGGCCCGTCCTACAGCTGTGTAACTATTCTCATCATGCTACTGGCGTAACTGAGGCCCAGAGAGGTACAGTAACTTGCTCAGGGTCACACAGTCACTAAGGGAGGCTGTTTGAACCCTGGGCCCGTGACCCCTATGCCCATTGGTCCTCCCTGCTTTTGTGGGTTTCTGATTAAATGTAGAAGCATGTTCCTGCAGGTGCGTAGGGCACCCAGCCTGGAGGCCCCCCCTGCGTCCCTGGCAATGAATGTTAATTTCTCATTAAGGAGGCCCGGCTCTGCTTCCCACTTCAGACCCTCCTCCTGGCTGTTTTGAGTGCCTTCTATTATCCGGAGTCACATTTGCATCTTAGACTGTGACTTAATGGCCGGCCCCAGAGCCTGTGCAATCTCAAAGACTTGGCCTAGATTAATTAGCATCTCTCCCCGGCCTCTCCCTGTGGTCCCACACTTCACAGAGCCTAATCATGGCTAATTTCCTAGCTTCCTGACGCCAGGAAGGCCGTAATTGTCCTTCTGTACCGTATCAGTCAGGGGTCAGCCAGCACCTAGCAGTGCAGACCACTCAGGCTGCTTTAATCAGAGATGGATGAGACGCAGGGCAGCAGGTGCTCACGGGTCTCTGTGCTGCAGGAGGTGCTCAGGGGACCCATTGCAGCGGGTGGGGGGTCCGCATCAGGGCTGGGTTGCCTGAGCTGTCCGGGAACTGGGTGGCTCCTGCCGTACTGACGGCTCGGATGATGCCATGCCTGCTAGAGCAGCGCAGCCTGTCTGGCCAGGGTGGGGCACGTGAACCCCCTCACCTCAGAGCCTGAGCTTAGCACAGAATCAGTCGGCACGTGTCCCCCTCTTTCCACCTCACTTCCGCTTTCCCTGCCTCACCTGAGGCTGTCGGATTGGCTGCACCCAGTGCTCATGCAGCCACCCCCCCACCCCCTCCCATGGAAAGGGCATCTGGGGAACACGGACTTGCTTTCCGGCCTGTCCTGAATGTAAAGGAAATGGGTCCTGGGGGCCAGCGCCCCCCGACCCCCCCAACTACCGCATGAACCTGCTCCACCCACACGCCGTGCTCTGAGAGGGACAAACCAGACCACGTGTGGAAGTCGTGAAGGGGGTAGAAGCCAAGTCCCGACACAGATCATCCTTTCATTTAAAAAGATGTATCACCACGGACCAGGCACTGTGTGGGGCTCTGGGGCTAGAAACAAAAAAAATCCAATAAGGCTCTGGTCCTGCCCCAGGAGCCCCCACGCTGTGAAGACCGGGTACCACTCAGCCCACAAGGAAGATGTGGTGACTGTCCCAAGCATGTGACCTGCTGGACTTGGGAGCACGCAGCGCAGTGTGAGGCCTGTGGGCTGAACTTGTCCCCCGGGGAGTGTCTTTTGGACTCACACAGTTTAAAAAAGACTTAGTCACTTGCTAACATTTAAATTCAGAAAGTCCTTCTATAGTTTTAAAAAGCTGAATTCCTAATTCCCTGGAAAAATGGAAAGATCTGGCCCTCACGCCGGCCTCCCCTCCCCGCGAGGCAGCCATTAGCAGAGCAGGGTAGCGGTGCCCCCCAACCCCCAACATGCCGTAAGGCCACGCAAAGTGCTTCCGTTAGTCCCCACCACTCCCTTTAGCTGCCCAGAGCTGAGGCCGAGCAGAAGCTGCGGTTTGGCCTTGTGCTGTGGTCACTGCTCCTCTCACATGGGGTGGCTTCCTGCCGTTCCACTTCCGGCTGCTCACGGGGGTGCTTGAGCCTGTGTCCCCTGGACAGACGGCTTTGCAGTCAAACTGCTTCCTGGCTGTGTGCCCCAGAGCTGATGATGTGACGTCTCTGAGCTTTGCATTCGAACCTCCCGGGCTGCCCGGCAGGAGTGCGTACGCGGTGTGTGTGACAGGGGTCGTCAGCAGGGGCTGTCTGCTGCTTCGGGTGGGAGCAGCTGGTGGCAGGGGACAGACGAATCCAAGGAGATGTCTGAGAGCAAGGACTCAGGAGCCTGGCGGCCGTACGTGAAGCCTTGGCTCCACCACTGCCTACCGGCGCGGCCCAGAACAAGCAGCTTAGCTTGTCTGTCTCCTCATCTGCAAGTGGGGTTAATAATGGCACCTGCCTGGTGCGGTAGTTAAGGAGGACCCAGTGAGCCGGTGTCTGCGGAGGGTGTCAAGGGTGCCCGGCATGGGGGAAGCAGGCAGTAAGTGGTCATGACCGTGGCTGTAGTCGATGGGGGACCCAAGCTGAGGGCGGCTCTGCCTGGGGGCCTCAGGGCTTCACTCTAGGGTACACTTTGAAAAGACCCCTGGCTGCTGCATGTCCAAGGATGCTCACGGGGCCATGTGGCTGTGGGAGGAGCAGGCAGGAGGCTTTGAAGCAGGGCCCCCTCCCTGCAAGCCTCACACAGCCCTTGTCCCTCCAGCCTTCGGCTCGTTGTCCCCTAGCCTCCGCCTCACACTGTCCCTAGCCCCAAGTCCCCTGGTCACCTCAGCCTCCTTGGCCCGTCCCGTTGCGTCTTCTCTGTGCCAGTCTTTGTTGAAATTGCCCAGGACGATGCTTCAGCTGGTCAGCCTGGGCCGGGTGCCCACACTTGCTCCTGGGACGGTGTGAGCGGAGGTGGGGCCAGGTGGGATGACACAAAGCCTGCCCGGCCCAGAACTGTTCCCCGAGCAGAGCCTGGGTCCCCTAGCTTCTTGTCCAGGACAGCAAATAGCCCCAAAGTGCTGACTGCGCCAGGGGGAGGAGGCACTGATTGGGTTTCCTTTGGCCCCAGGAAGTGGAGTTAAGTAGCAAGTTTCCCTGTGGTAGAAAGTACACGGGGCTGGATTTTCGGGTGCGTAGGATAGAGGAAGGCAGTCTTTCCCTCCCCCCTGTGGGTGGGCTCCATGGTCCTTGCAGGCAGCCAGAGGTGGGCAGCGGTGAGGGGAGCAAAAGCCCCTGGTGGCCAGGGGTGGCCTGTCCTCAAAAGCCACCCCACCAGGAGAGGCACCACAGCCCCGTCCCCATCCTGGGGTTCCTCCCGTAGGGCTGTGCCCAGCAGGAGGGATGAGGGGCACACAGCCGAGTCAGCAGGGGACACAGCGGTCACAGCCTCCCCCTGCCCCTGGCCAGCACTGCCTCCTCCCTGTACCCTCCCCCCTGCCCTCTTCAGTTTGCAGCCAGCCACTCACACACCCACTTCTCAGGGACCAGGCCCTTGCGTCTTTCCATAGACTCCCTTCCTTAGGGTCTTGCCCCGCAACTGGGAAGCCCTTGGGGTCAAGATGCCCCGATGGAAGGGGCTGCCCCAGGCGCATGGGCCCAGGGATCCCTGTACCAGAGGGGCACCGCGTCAGCCAGACGCTGGCCCCGAGCCTGGCCCAGCACACCTGTAAAGCCCGCCCGGGGACTCCCCAGTTCTGGGAGGCGGACAGCCACACCGGGCAGGCGTCCGAGCCGCCACCTGCACCCCGCACCCGGCTAGAGGTGATCAATGGGCTCTGGCTGGCACTGCTCTTTATTCCCCCACCGCTTCCCAGCCTCAGATCTTTCTCCTGCTATCAGTGGATTAAGATTTATGGCTTCCTCAGCCTTGTAATACTTGGGTGGACAGCGGCCTAATCAACAGAGCCGTCGTTTACCAAAATGCTGTCAGATTTGATGAACGTCATGGGCTCTTAGCATTAAATTGGTAGTGAAGGGATTGGCCTTTCAGCAATTTACTGTGGGGGTGGGCTTTCCTTAAAGGCCCGGAAAGCAAGTTCATTGCCATTTAAAGCAGAGGCTTTGCTCTCACTCTGCCGTCGTATCCGGTTTCCTGTTGTGGGCTCGGCAGCTTCGGCACCTCCAGGAAAGCTCACGAGTCACAATATGAAGCCCTTTCCTTTGCTCTCCTGTTTCTGAGTTCTGAAAGCCCCTGCAGCGCGGACAATAAATGAAACAACCCATAAAGCAGAGGCGTTTACAGCGACCTTGCGCGACACAGGCTGTCAAAGTGTCGAGAGCCATTATTTGTAAGCGATCAGGAAAATCCGGGAAGGACATGTCAAATGGGGTAGATTTTCTCCCCACCCCAAACCTGCCTGTCAGTATCTTTAGAGATCTCATACCTCTAGAGGGAGCCATTTGCACACTACGCAACCTGAACAACCACACAGGGCAACCAACCCCCAGCCTTGATCTTTCTAATGACAGTAGCTTGCACACGCATCTCTTAGAATGCTTTGCCACGGGGGTGGCAGATACACACAGATAACTCTGAGCACGGCCTTGGGCTGAGTGTGGCCAAGGACAAAAATCTGGCCTTGGGCTGGCAAACCAGAACATGGCTGTCAGGGCTTTAATGCCTCATCCTGGCACGTGGTTGATACCACAAGGGTCCACCCAGGTCTGGGCGCTGCAGGGAGGCAGGAGAAAGCCGCCACTTACAAACACCCACTCCAGGTAAAGCAATGTGCCAGAGAGCCAGCCAGACATCTGGGCATCTTCCTCGCCAGCATGTGGAGGGGGGAGGCGGGGCACAGGCACCGCCTGGGGGCTGGGTTGGAACCCTCTAGCCTCCTGCGCTTAGTGGGAGGTGGGTGTCCTCATGTGGGAGAGGCGGCTCCCCATCCTCTCCAGTGGCGGCAGAGGCACTTCCCTCGGGCTGGGGTGGGAGAGTAGGCCAGATGGAAGACTATTTATTCCCATCTCGGGCACCCACTCGGCACTTCAGACTCTTTCTGGACCACATTAATTGTGTTACGTGTTGCTTCATAAGCATGTTCTTCTGTTGCATGTTCTGTGTGAACTCCTTGAGGCCGGGGCATTGGTTGTTACATTTTTTTTCTATTTCGATGTGCTTCCAGAACCTTGCATGCAGTCAGCATTCAGTAAGGGCTTGCTGGTTAAGTGCCTTAATGCCTACTGCAAACCCATCCCCCAACCTTTTGGCAGGGCGAGCAGTTGTGGCAAGCTCCTGGGAAGGGAGAGGGGCGCTTCTGGGAAAATGGGGGATGGGAAAGCTACAGAGGACAGAGACATACCTGGGCATTTGTCCTTGAATGCTGGAGCTCTTCCTCCTAGTTATAATTTAGATCAGACCAGCAGAACCGCATTAATGCCAGCTCTCTTACTTACTAGTGGGAAAGCCAGTTCAGGTATGGCTGGATCCAGGTGCTCAGACAACGTAGCAAGGCTCGGTCTCCATCTCTCAACTCTGCTTTTCCCTATGCTGCTCTGTGTGGTACCAAGGTGGCCACGGCCAGCCTCCACCTCACATTCTGTCGCCCCACTAGTGCATCTCTCTGGCTCCCCTGAACGAGTCACCTGGTCACTCTAGGCCAGCAGGGTCTAATGCTCAGGTTGCCCGGACCTGTCCTGTGCTCCAGCCCCCCCCATGGACTCAGTCCCCCATGAACACTTGGATTAGGGGGTGGGGAGGGGGAGGATTTCCCAAAAGAAAATTGGGGTGCTTTCGCCAGCAGACAGGGGATCACATGCAGGGTGGGCACAAACAGCAGCACCTGTGCAAAACTTCACAGACCTCGCGCTACTCAGACTTGCGTGTGTGTGTGTGTGCGTCACCTGGGCCCTTGTGAAAATGCAGATTCTGACTGGTAACTCTGAGATGGGGCTTGAAATCCCGCATTTCTCACAAACTGCCAGGGGAAGCCGATGCTGCTGGTGCACGGACCTTACATGAGAGTAGGCTCCTATAGGGCCTGGGTCCTCCCCTTCTAGATGAAGGAACAGAAACCTGTGGAGGGGCCAGGCTGTGCCCAATGCCCAGCGCTCCTCCCTCCCAGCCTCTTCCTCTTCTCCTTCCTCTTCTCCCTCTCTCTCTCTCTCCCCCCCACCCCTTCTGTCTCTGCCTCTCTCACTCTCCAGCTCCATTTCAGCATCTGGGTGTTATTGAATGGTTCCTGAGGAGGGGGGAGGAGCCCGCCCTCCCCCATCATCTATCGTAGAGATAGATCTTGAAGATGAACTTCAAACCCCTTTCAGGTTCATCCTGGCCCCAGGCAAGGAAGCTCCAAGGTGTCTCCTGGCCCCAAAGCCTTCTTCCCCTCCAGGGACCCTGCAGCGGATGCTAAGAAATGGTCTAAGAGCGAGTTCACACAGCCTGGGAGGCAGCGAGCTCACACTTGGTGTCAGAGGCTGGGGGGTATCGCCAAGTGACAGGGTCGCCTATGGGAGGAAAAGTGTCCCCAAGCACCTCCCTTCGGCACCTCTGCCTCCTCCCTGTTCCCCAGCCGGGGCTCCCTACCTGCCTTTATCAGCCTCTCTCTCTTTCTCTCTCTTTTTTAAATCTTTCTTTCCAAGATCTTTTTCTCGAGTGATCTATAGCCAAGCCTCTGCCTGCTTTTCTGAGTGTTAGATGTTCTCAGGAAGCTCCTTCGCGTCCTTTCATCCTGTAGCCTAGACTGGGCCCATTTATTCTTCATGCACCTCTTGGGGGGCAGTACAGCGTGGTGGTTTAGGACTAGGGTCCCTCAGCAACCAACTACAGCTCTTGGGCTAAATCTGGCCCCAGCCTGTTCTTATAAATAAAGTGTTTTGGGGACACAGCCATGCCCATTCATTCAGGCATTCTCTGTGGCTACTTTCCAGCTACAAGGGGACAGCTGAGTACAGTTGACAGAAACCATATGGCTGGCAGGACCGAAAATACTTACTCTGTACACGAAGCATTGAGCCATCCCTGGCTTGGAGCTATACTGCTGGGGTTCAGATCTAGGCCCTGCGGCTTCCTCGCTGTGTGACCTTCAGCAAGGGGCTTGTGGCCTTGGGCCTCAGTTCCCCCTGGGGCCACTATGACAACCGAAGGAGCAATGTACCTGACACACTTGGAGGGGCGCTGAGTCTGCATTCAGTGCATTCAGTGCGGTGGCATATGGTGTGCACGTCCCCCTGGGGGTGGGCGGGGGCAGGGCGGGGTGACTGTGAATGAGAAAGGTGTTCGGTCCCAACCAGTGAGAGTCGCGCAGGCCCATAAGCCTCCGGCATCACGTCCTTCATCATCAGGGTAATAGCTGCGTCCACCAGGCTGGTGGGGTCCTAATTCTTACAGGGGGTGGAGGGTTCTCACCCAAGCGTGAGGGGAACTGCATGATCTGAATCACTGTCCCTGGGGCACCTGGGTGGCTCAGCTGGTTGAGCGTCCGACTCTTGGTTTCAGCTCAGGTCGTGATCTCATAGTTCGTGAATTCGAGCCCCATGTCAGGCTCTGTGCTAACAGCGTGGAACCTGCTTGGGTTTCTCTCTCCCTCTCTCTCTGCCCCTCCCTTGCCCTCTCTCTCTCTCTCTCTCTCTAAAAAAAACTTAAAAAAAAAAATAAAATAAATCTGTGTCCCTCAGCGGGTAATAAACCCAGTACACATGGCCCAGCGCACCTGTTCCTTCTTTTAGTAGCCAGGCCTCACTCAAGTGGGGCCCAGAGCAGGAAGTTTAAGGAGGCCTTCACTCTTGGATTCGTGCACACGCTGGGCCACCCAAGAAGGAGCCCCTTCTTAAAGGGTGCCTCCCTTGTGCCACCCTGGCCCAGCCCTGAGAAGCCCCAAGGAAAACCCAGGGTCTCCTAAGCTTAGTTGATCACAAAGCCAATTTGGGGAAGTTTAACACCCACTAAAATTCTACTAAGAAAGTATTTCAACCTAAAAAGTTGGTCAAAAATTCTACTGAACACCCTTTGTGCAGTAGGAACCAGTCAAGACTTTTTTAAAAAAGAATGTTTATTTACTTTTGAGAGAGAGAGAGAGCGCACGTGCCTCAGCAGGGGAGGGGCAGAGAGAGAGGGGAATGGAGGATCCGAGGGGGCTCTGTGCTGACAGTATAGATCCTGATGTGGGGCTCGAACTCATGAACCGTGAGATCATGACCTGAGCTGAAGTTTGTCGCTTAACTGACTGAGGCCCCCAGGCACCCCTCCAGTAAGGACTTCTAGCGGAGGTGGCGTGGCCTTCACAGACTTACTGCCTCACAGTCAGCTGCTAACGCACTCACCTCTCCGCGGAACCAAGGTGTACCTCCCGGCACCTCTGAAACAGTCTGGCTTTTTTCAGTATAGAAATCTGTGCAGATCAGGACAGAAGCCGGCCCACGGCTGCACATTGAGCCGCCCCTGGACTACTCTGAAGATTTTGAGCCGTGTGGGGATGAGACCATCAAGGCCAAGGACGCTTCTGGGGACCATCCACAGGTAGGCCTGGCCTCGGCTTGTGCGGGAGCGGCTCTGGGGGCACTTTGTGACGGCAGGTTCTTCCTCCCCTTTCCCACACCGTGGCGAGCACGCAGGCTGCATGCTGGGCACCGTGCCTGCAAGGCACCCAGCGTCCAGCTGTCAGAATGGCTGCTGTCTGACCCCACAGAGGCTACAGCCTACAATCCCCATACCACGAGAGCTTGCTGAAGGATGGGGCAAGATGTGGCAGGCCCAAGAGAGAGGGTATCCAGGAAGGCTTCCTAGAGGAAGTGACATTTGCTGGGGTCTTAGAGGCTGGGTGAGAGTGTGGGGCAAGGAAGGGGAGGCGGGGGCAGGCAGAGCTGATACTCAGCCTGTCTGCACCCATGTATATGCACCTGCTGTTAAAGATTTTGAATGTCACCCCCCTGCCTGGGCCAGCAGAGCCCACACATGGAAATGCCCAGAACTCCCTAGAGCCGCAGCCCAGAGTCCACAGTGACGCAGCGGCTGAGGAGTCAGACAGTGGGGCGTTTCAGTGCCCTCCTCAAACTGCCATGTCACTTGTGGAATCCGGGGACCTACAGCAGTGTGTGCTGGGCTTCCACGCAGCAAGCACTGGCTGGGCACCCACTTCTGAACCTCAGGCTCTGTGCCGGGCACTGGAGACACAGAAATGAACAAAACGCACAGGGACCTATTCTTAGCAACTTACACTCTGCGGTGGGGGTGGGGTAGACGGTACAGAATAAACCAGGAGATGAATAATGCAATAATTTCGGGTATGGTCACGTTCTGTGAAGAAGACAGAGAGCAAGGTGGAACAGTGTGGGAGAGAGGGCAGGAAGGCAGCCTTCCCGTGTCAGTTCAGTTGAAACCTGATGGGAACAGCATGGCAGGTGGAGGGAACGGCAAGCACAGCTGACATGAGGCTCAGGCAGAGCATGAGCAAGGTGGGGTGTGGGGCAGACCATGCGGTGCACATGAGCCTGGGCGGAGGGGGGGAGGGGGAAGGGCCAGTGTGGTTAGGTGGACTTTATCCTGAGAGCAGTGCTTTTAGACGTAAAATGAGCGGGTAGATCATCGTCTTGGCTATGTAGAAGCAGAGTTATCAGGATGCCACCAGACAAAGGCACCATCCACCAGGTCTTCATTCCACTGTGGGCCTAGCCTGCAGATTCAGTAGCCTCTCTAAAAGAACAAAATATTGCTTTTTAAAAAAATTTTTTTAAATGTTGGTTTATCTGTGTGTATGAAAGAGAGACAGAGCATGAGCAGGGGAGGGGAAGAGAGAGAGGGAGACACAGGATTGGAAACAGGCTCCAAGCTCTGAGCTGTCAGCACAGAGCCTGATGCAGGGCTCGAACCCACGAACCGTGAGATCATGCTCTGAGCCAAAGTTGGATGCTTAACCAGCTGAGCCACCCAGGCGCCCCCAAAACCTTGCTTTTGTATGTTGCTCCTGTACCACAAACCCACCTTTAAGAAATGCAAAGCACTTTTAAAAGCAGTGGGAATATTGTCCAGGAAACATTCTCGTGGTAGTGTTTGCCTGTTTGTATTTCCTTCTTTGCTCATTAAAGAAGGACAGGTAAAGAGCAAAGGGTCACTTCATTTTGCATCCTGACTACGAAAGTCTGAAAGTAAATTGGAAATTTTGTCCTCCGGGGAGAGAAGGGGGAAGCTGGTTTTTATGGACTGATGCAGTGACCTTGTTTCCTACTCAGTCTGTAGAAATGGGATTTTACAGTAGGCAAAATTGTGGTGTGGACTTTACTGCCTTTAACACCCACCTCCCATACCACACACACACACACACACACATTTGTTTTTGAAACAACAGAACAGGGTCCTGCTCAGGATTTGAACACGTCTCTACAAACAGCCATCAATTTCTCTTAGTTTGGGAGACTGGTCTGTAGTCAAGTTCAGCCCATTCCAGTCCCAGCCACTAACCCCACCCCCCCGCCCCCGCCGCCCCCGGCACTGAACGTGTGCATGCCCTTCCCTCAAAAAGTGGGGTCGTTCCCTCTTCTCCTTTGGCACCTCCTGTTAAATGAACGTATATTCCTTCCGGCCTGCCCCTCACCAGCTATTAAGCCCCATTAGCATTCCTGTGTGCACACATGCTCTGAATCAGCACGGCCCTCCTCTGCAGGCCCTTCATTTTCTCCACTGTGAGCGCTTGATTGTATTTCTTTCTTTCCTTTTTCTCCCCATCTTGAGGGGGCACAGTGTATGGCTTCACAGTCAATTTCCCCTTGGAGTTATTTTCCTGCTAAGTGAAAGGGGGAGATGGAAATGCCAGTTTTCGTTTTCGGCCAAGGCAGAAGCCTTAAGAGATGCAATCTGAATGAGAGAGAGAGAGAGAGAGAGAGAGAGAGGGAAAAAGCATCTGGCTAAATATACCCAGTCACCTCGCAGTGTTTGCAAGTGCAGCTCTGAAATGGAGCCAAAGGAAATGCGCGTCTGCATGTGTACTTTTCATCTGACCTTCACCGTTGAAACATACCAGCCTTTTGCCTTCAATCCTACCCTTAGTGATCTCCCATTTCTTGGCGGCTCTGAGTTCACAGACCAGCACGCCGCAGACACGCCTCGCTGGCCTCCGGCCCATTGACTTGCGCTGTGTTTTTGAAAGAATTACTAGCTGGCATTTAAGGATCAGGAGAGTCTGTGTCAAAGTGTGAATCTGGGGCTTCTCTGGAAGAATCCGAACATTTGGGAGCCACGTCCTTAGGTGACAGCATGGTTGTTGCTCAGGACAGGTGTGTGCTCCCGGCACGAATCCCAGGCACCCTTCTACAGGCTGGAGATAAAGCAGACAGTAAACATTGTATCGGAGTGTCTGGGGGGCTCAGTCTGTTGAGCGCCTAACTCTTGATTTCAGCTCAGGTCATGATCCCATGTGATCTCTGCACTGAACATGGAGCCTGCTGGAGAGTCCCTCTTTCTCTCCCTCTGCCCCCTTTCCCATGCCCTCCCCACCACCGTCTAAAATAAAAAATAAAATAAAAAATTCAACTGATACAAAAAAAATAAAAGTCTTTGCACAATCCCACCGCCCCAGAGGTCATAGATGGGTATATCCATCCCAAATAAAAATTTCTTATGTTCATTATATATGTAATGTATTGATTTTATCCAAGAGGAGATGGTTGATCTGGAATGTTCCAGTCTTGGCCCATCCCCAGTGAGTGGTGGTAATCCCTGAGTTTAGTTATTTGATTTTCTCTGCCAGCATGACACGTGATAGGGAGACTTGGCTGCCCCACCATCTTCTGGAATGCTGTGTCGTGTGGACCCTGGTGTGGGGTGAACTGGATATTTGCCCACAATTACAATTCGGTGTTTTAAGGCCATTGTTACTTGCTGACACACATCAACAACTAAAGACCTGTCCACAACCTGTGTGTTCCCATTGCTTGGGTACTTCTGTTTTGGGTTACCAATTAAATAACTTTCAGGGGCACCTGGGTGGCCCAGTTGGTTAAGCATCCGACTTCAGCTCAGGTCATGATCTCATGGTTCGTGGGTAGGAGCCCCGCATCGGGCTCTGTGCTGACAGCCAGCTCAGAGCCTGGAGCCTGCTTCAGATTCTGTATCTCCCTGTCTCTCTGACCCTCCTCTGCACTCTTTGTCTCTCTTTCTCTCTCAGAAATAAATAAAAAACATTAAAAAAATTTTAAATAACTTTCAAGTGAGTACCATGTTTTCCTTTAGTTTTTATTTTATTATTTATTTATTTTTTTAAAAAATATTTTTATTTATTTCTAGGAGAGAAAGAGAGAGAGACAGTGTGAGCAGGGGAAGGTCAGAGAGAGAGGGAGTCACAGACTGAAACAGGCTCCAGGCTCCGAGCTGGCAGTCAGCACAGAGCCCGACGAGGGGCTCGAACCCACGAACCGCGAGATCATGACCTAAGCGAAAGTCGGACGCATAACCGACTAAGCCACCCAGGAGCCCCTCCTTTAGTTTTTATAGATGTTTTCACATAGATGGGATTATATACCCTCCACGCTGTTTGATAATCCCACTTTTTTTTTTTTTTTAATTCAGCAAGATGTGGAGGCCATATCTCAGTACTCACTGAGCCCAGAGTGTAGGTTGTTGGTGGCCTGAGTTTGAATCCTGGTCTGTTTACTAACTGTGTGCCTGCAGTGGTGTGGGGTAAGGCAGGGGTGAGTCTGGGCAGGTCAGCTTTGGGAGTGAGAGCAGAGAATGATGGATGGTGAGGAGGGAGACGGGAGGCATGGAGACCAACAGAGAGAACGAGGGATCCAGTGCATCTTCAGGGACATAAATTACTGTTACCATGCCCATTCTCTCTGCTTGTCCCTAGGGTACCAAGTCTTCTACCGGCACCACGCCCTGTGATTTTAATTTCTCCCTTCTGAATGCACGAGGCTGCCCTGATCCTGCTGTCAATGTGGACAAAGAAAGGATCCTCTTAACTATTCAGGATGTAATGGTAAGATGGATTTCAGCCTCATAATGCCATGAAGGGCCAGGGTCTTTGCCAAGCAGCTGGGCCGTAGCATAGCCCCCATGAGACAGTCTTTGTTTACACCTGGTTTCAGGTCTCACATTTAGGTCCTTAATCCATTTTGAGTTTATTTTGGTGTGTGACATAAGAAAGTGGTCCAGTTTCATTCTTTTGCATGTTGCCATTCCGTTTTCCCAGCACCATCTATTGAAGGGACTGTTTTTTTCCATTGGATACTCTTGCCTGTTTTGTCAAAGTTTAATTGACCATGAGATTGTGGGTTTATTTCTAGGTTTTCTATTCTGATCCATTGATCGATGTGTCTTTTTTTGGTGCCAGTACCATATTGTTTTGATTCCTACTGCTTTGTAGTGTATCTTGAAATCTGGGAATGTAATACCTCCAGCTTTGTTCTTTTTCAAGATTGCTTTGGCTGTTTAGGGGTCTTTTGTGGTTCCATACAAATTTTAGGAATCTTTATTCTAGCTCTGTGAAGAATGCTGTGGGTATTTTAATAGGTTTTGCATTAAATCTGTAGATTGCTTTGAGTGGTACGGACATTTTAACAATATTTGTTCTTCCAATCCATGAGCATGGGATATCTTTCCATTGCGTGGTCTTCAATTTCTTTCATCAGTGTTTGATAGTTTCAGAGTACTGGCCTTTCACTCCCTTGGTTAATTCTATTCCTAGGTATTTTATTATTTTCTGTACAATTGTAACTGGGGTTGTTAATTTCTCTTTCTGTTACTTCATTATTAGTGTATAGAAACGCAACATATTTCTGTATATTTTGTATCCTGTGCCTTTCCTTAATAAATGTTCTAGTAGATTTTTAGTGCAGTCTTGAGGGTTTTCTGTAGTATCATGTCACCTGCAAATAGTGAAAGTTTTACTTCTTCCTTACCAGTTTGGATGCCTTCTATTTCTTCTTTCTGATTGCTTAGGCTAGGATTTCCAGAGTACTGTGTTGAATAAAAGTGGTGAGAATGGACATCCCTGTCTTGTTCCTGACCTTAGGGGAAAAGCTCTCAGTTTTTTTAGTATGGTGTCAGCTGTGGGATTTTTATATATGGCCTTTATTATGTTGAACTATGTTCCCTCTAAACCTACTTTGTTGGCAGTTTCTATTGTGAATGAATCTTGTACTTTGTCAAATGCTTTTTTGCATCCATTAAAATGATCAATCGTTTCAATGGTTTCAATTGTTTCTCTTATTGATGCTATGTCTCATGTTGATTAATTTGTGAGGATTGAACCACCCTTACATTGCAGGGATAAATCCCACCTGATCCTGGTGAATGATCCTGGTGAATGATTTCTTTAATGTATTGTTGGATTCAGTTTGCTAATATTTTGTTGAGCATTTTTTGCATCTGTGTTCATCAGATACATTGGCCTGTAGTTCTCTGTCTCTCTCTTTTTTTTTTTCGTAGTGTCTTTATCTGGTTATGGTGTCACGATAATGTTGGCCTCATAGAATGAATTTGGAGGTTTTTCTTCCTCTTCTGTTTTTTGGAGGTTTTCCTTCTTCTACTCTTTGAGAAGAATAGATATTAATTCTTTGAATATTTGGTGGAATTGACCTGTGAAGCCATCTGGTCCTGGACTTTTGTTTGTTGGAAGTTTTTTGATTACTGATTCAATTTCATCACTTACTATTCTATTTCATCACTAGTAATCAGTCTGTTCAAATTTTATTTCTTTTTTTTTTTTAATCTTTATTTGTTTTTTAGAGCGAGAGACAGTACAAGCAGGGGAGGGGCAGAGAAAGAGAGGGAGACACACAATCTGAAGCAGGCTTCAGGTTCTGAGTTATCATCACAGAGCCCAACATGGGGCTTAAACTCACTGAGATCTCATGAACTGAGATCATGGCCTGAGCTGAAGTCAGGCACTCAACTGACTGAGCCACCTATGCACCCCAGTCTGTTCAAATTTTCTATTTCTCTCTGATTCAGTTTTGGGAGGTTGATTATCCATTTCTAGGAATTTCTCCATTTCTTCTAGGTTGTCCAATTTGTTGGCATATAATTTTGCATAATATTAAAATCAGTGGTGTCTGTTCTTTCTTTCTTTTTTAATGTTTATTTATTTTTGAGAGAGAGATAGAGCATGAGAGAGGGAGGGGCGGGGGGTGGGGGGGAGACACAGAATCCAAAGCAGGCTCCAGGTTATAAGCTGTCAGCACAAAGCCCAATGCAGGGCTCGAACTCATGAACTGGGAGATGGTGACCTGAGCCCAAGTTGGATGCTCAACCAACTGGTGCCCAAGTGCCACTCTGTCATTATTTTTTCCGCTTTTGTTTCTGATTTTGTTTGTCTGAGTCTCTTCTCTCTCTCTCTCTCTCTCTCTCTCTCTCTCTCTGATGAGGCTGGCTAGGTATATCAATTTTGTTGATCTTTTCAAAGAACAAGCTCCTGGTTTCATTGATCTGTTCTATTGCTTTCTAAGTTTGTATTACATTTATTTCTGCTCCCGTTTTCCTGATTTCCTTCCTTCTATGGTTTTGGGTTTTGTTTGTCCTTATTATAGTTCCTTTGGGTGTAAGGTTAGTTTCTTTACTTGAGATTTTGCTTGCTTCTTGAGGTAGACCTAGATCGCCATAAACTCTCCTTTTAGAACAGCTTTTGCTGCATCCCAAACGTTTTGGACCATCGTGTTTTAATTTTCATTTGTCTCCCTGTAGTATTTTATTTCCTCTGATTTCTCGGTTAGCCCATTTACTTGTTTGGTAGTGTGTTATTTAACCTCCATATATTTGTGTTCTTTCTAGATTTTTTTCTCGTGGTTCATTTCTAGTTTTACAAAAGCATTGTGGTCAGAAAAGATGCATGGTATGACTTCAATCTTTTTGAATTTGTTGAGACTTATTTTGTGACCTAATAGATGACCTATTCTGGAGAATGTTCCATAAGCATTTGAAAAGATTGTATATTATGCTGTTTCAGGATGTAATATTCTGATTATATCTGTTAGATTCATCTGGTCCAATGTCATTCAAGGCCACTGTTACCTTGTTACTTTCTGTTTAGGTGATCTTTCCCTTGATATAAGTATGGTGTTAAAGTCCCCTACTATTATTATATTACTATCAATGACTTCCCTTATGTTTGACATTAGCTGCTTTATGTATTTGGGTGCTTCTGTGTTGGGTGTATAAATATTTACAATTGTTATATCTTCTTAGTTGATGGTTTTCTTTCTTTGTTTCTTGTTACAGTCTTTGTTTTAATGTCTGTTTTTGTCTGATATAAATATTGCTACCCCAAGTTTCCTTTTCACTTCCTCTTGCGTGATAAATGCTTTTCCATCCCTTTCCTTTCAATCTACATGTGTCCTATGTCTTTTCATTGGAACGTTTGTTCCAAAGTAATTGTTGATAGGTGTGTTCTTATTGCCATTTTGTTACTTGTTTTATTGTTGTTTTTATAGGTCTTCTCTGTTCCTTTCTTCTCACTCTTTTTTCTCACTGTTTGCTTGCTTTCTTTACTGATATACTTGGATTTCTTTCTCTTTATTTTTTGCATATCTGTTACTGGTTTTTGATTCATGTTACCAAATCAAAAGAATCGTTTGTAACATCTTATGCCTATATAGCAGTCTATATTATGACGTTGATGGTTGCTTATGTTTGAACCCATTCTTTACTCCTCTCCTTCCCCCACCACCCCCAGATTTTGGGCATATGGTATCATACTTCACATCCTTTTATTTTGTGAATCCCTTGACTGATTTTTATAGACATACTTAGTTTCACTGTTTTTGTGCTTCCTACTTCTCTGACCCCTACTTACAGTCTTCCCTTTACACTCAAAGAGTCCCCTTTAACATTTCTCATAGGGCTTGTTTAGTGATCATGAATTTCTTTAACTTTTGTCTAGGAAACTCTTTATCTCTCCCTCTTTTGTGAATGGTAGCCTTGCTGGATAGAGTATTCTTGGTTGCAGGGTGTTTTGTTTTGAGCACTATGAATATATCATACCACTCTTTCTGGCTTACAAGGTCTCTGCTGAGAAACATGCTGAAAGCCTTCTGGGGTTTCCCTTGTATATAACTGTTTTCTTTTCCTTTGCTGCTTTTTATTTATTTTTTATTTTTTTATATTTTTTATATATTTATATATATTTTTTTATTTTTATATATTTTTATTTTTCTAGGGATGGAATTTAGTGATTCATCACTTACACATAACATCGAGTACTCATCCTTTTTTTTTTTTTTTAATTTTTTTACTGTTTCTTTATTTTTGAGAGAGAGACAGAGGTGAGCATGGGGAGGGGCAGAGCGAGAAGGAGACACAGAATCTGAAGCAGGTTCCAGGCTCTGAGCTGTCAGCACAGAGCCCGACGTGGGACTCGAACCCACAAACGGCGAGATCGTGACCTGAGCCGAAGTCAGACGCTTAACCAACTAAGCCACCCAGGCGCCCCCATCCGGTGCTCATCCTAACAAGTGCCCTCCTTAATGCCCATCACCCATTTAGCTCATTCTTCCACCCAACACCCCTCCAGCAACCCTCAGTTTGTTCTCTGTATTTAAGAGTCTCTTATGGTTTGTCTCCCTCTATTTTTATCTTATTTTTGCTTCCCTTCCACTATGCTCATCTGTTTTGTTTCTTAAATTCCGTATACACGTGAACTCGTATGATATTTGTCTTTCTCTGACTTATTTCACTTAGCATAATACACTCTAATTCCGTCCACATTGTTGCAGATGCCAAGATTTCATTCTTTTTGATCACCAAGTAAATATTCCATTGTATACATGTACTACATCTTCTTTATCCATTCATCAGTCACTGGACATTTAGGCTCTTTCCTTATTTGGATATGGTCGATAATACTGGTGTAAACACTGGGGTGCATGTACTCCTTCAAACTAGCATTTTTAAAAATCCTTTGGATAAATACCTAGTTGTGTAATTGCTGGATTGTGGGTAGTTCTATTTTTAATTTTTTAAGGAGTCTCCATACTCTTTTCC